ACCTGAACACATCCTATACATACCCGTACACACCTGAACACCCTGGTGCACACCTGTATGCAACTGTACACACCCACACACACCTGAACACATCCAATATACACCCGCGCACACCTGAACACTCTGGTGCACACCTGTATGCAACTGTACACACCCACACACACCTGAACACATCCAATACACACCCGTACACACCTGAACACCCTGGTGCACACATGTATGCAACTGTACACACCCACACACACCTGAACACATCCAATACACACCCGTACACACCTGAACACCCTGGTGCACATCTGTATGCAACTGTACACACCTGAACACCCTGGTGCACACCTCTATGCAACTGTACACACCCGTACACACCTGAACACATCCAATACACACCCCTACACAGCTGAAAACTCTGGTGCACATCTGTATGCAACTGTACACACCTGCATACACCTGCACACACTGGTACACATCTGCACATACCTGCACACACTGCTACACACCTGTCCTGAGGACCTGCTGCATCTCCCTCCAGATGAAGAACTGCAGGTGAGTCTCGTAGGGCCCCAGGGACAGAGAGCCGGGCGTCACGCTCACAGATTTCAGCCTGGACTCGTACCTGCAGGGGGGAGAGAGGGAGAGTCACACAGGCCACTCGACACTGGGGGAGCAGGGGGGGCCACAGGGGTGTCGACAGCAGTCTGAGAGACGGGAGACACCCGAGTCTGGGAGACTGCAGTCTGGGAGACAGGAGACAGGAGTCTGGGAGACTGCTGAGTCTGGGAGACAGGAGACAGGAGTCTGGGGGACAGCTGAGTCTGGGAGACGGGAGACAACTGAGTCTGGGAGACTGCAGTCTGGGAGACAGGAGACAGGAGTCTGGGAGACAGCTGAGTCTGGGAGACGGGAGACAGGAGTCTGGGAGACAGGAGACAGGAGTCTGGGAGACTGCAGTCTGGGAGACGGGAGACAGGAGTCTGGGAGACAGCTGAGTCTGGAAGACTGCAGTCTGGGAGACAGGAGACAGGAGTCTGGGAGACAGCTGAGTCTGGGAGACGGGAGACAGGAGTCTGGGAGACTGTAGACAGCTAAGTCTGGGAGACTGCAGTCTGGGAGATGGGAGACAGCTGAGTCTGGGAGACTGCAGTCTGGGAGACGGGAGACAGCCGAGTCTGGGAGACGGGAGACAGCTGAGTCTGGGAGACGGGAGACAGCTGAGTCTGGGAGACGGGAGACAGCAGTCTGGGAGACAGGAGACAGCAGTCTGGGAGACAGGAGTCTGGGAGACGGGAGTCTGGGAGACGGGAGTCTGGGAGACAGCTGAGTCTGGGAGATGGGAGACAGCAGTCTGGGAGACAGCTGAGTCTGGGAGACGGGAGACAGCAGTCTGGGAGACAGGAAGCAGGAGGGAGGAGGCAGGAGGCGGGAGTCTTGAGTCGGGAGACGGGAGTTACGAAGCTGGAGTCTGAAGTCAGGAAGCAGGAAGGAGGAGTCGGGAGTCGGGGGTGTTTAGCCTAGAGACCAGGCTGATCTCTGAAACTGAAATAATAATGATTATTATTATCATCATGATGTCTCTCTCTCCGGAAGGGCAGCGACTCACCCGCTGACTGTAATCACCTCCCACTCCTC